GGAAAGAGACAGACCTGTACAGTGTGGGAGGTGGAGCTACCTGCCCCCTCCATGGGAGTTAGGGAAACAGTGTGGGGCTCCAGCCTCAGCAATAACCATGGTTCCCCAAAAGTATGGCCGTTGGTGCGTCCATCTTAGTTCTCTATCCTCTAGCTTTCTTTGTCTTCTACCTGCTGGAATATTGCTTGCCCTGGGCAGTCTTCCAGGATTTTCCTTAGCCAGATCAGTGGCTCATCCTTTAGGTCCCACTATTAATATTTGTATTATATTAATATTTTCATGTCTATGTTTCCCAAACAATAGAACATCCTTAAGAGAAGTACCATACTTCTGTATTCCCTTTTGTTCCTAAAGATATTTTTTCCACAAATTTAAAACAAAAAAAGTACTATTCATTTAAATAATAATTTCCTCTGGAATTAACCTCTTCCAAGAAGGGGATTTTAAAATGCCCTTTAGGCATCCATGTAAATAAAACATACACAAATTTTGCATAAAATATGAGCCAATTTTATTAACGGCTCTGTGCTCGGCCTTTACATAATTTTTTAAATGACCTTCATTTTTTTCTGGATTGTTTTGAATGTTTGCATTGAATTTATAGTTGTCATTTGTTACGTTTTTTTCTTCTCATTCTAAGTAAATATTCACTTATACCAACAGCAACAACAACAAAAAAGGTAAGAGGGCAAAACCTCAAGTCCATACTCATCTCTCAGAGTGGGAGGGTATGGAGCCCTGGGGAGTTCCCAGTTGCATATCCTGTCTTCTCCACAATCTCCAGATTTGCTTACAAAAGCCACAAAATGAACTGTAGACACAAAAGTTACCTGGGTCAAACTGAATCAGTTTAGACGGGGTCACGGTGAAATCTTTTCCAACTGTGGCTGACACTTGATTGACCTTAAATGGAAAAGAAGACTTTTTAAAAATAAAAACAAATATTTTATAATAGAGAAATATCTCTTCTCCCTCTCCTAGAGTAAACTCATGTCCTTTTACTCTTTTTTTTAATTAAGTAGGTTTTTCAAATTATGATGAATCATTTTAGATCCAGCTAAATAGATCTTCCTTAAAGTTAACTTTTGCTAGACTAATATCAACAAAAATGAAAGCTTTTTCCTTTTTTTCTCTCATAAGTGATTATTGGAGGAAGTAGCATGTATTTTAAATAGCATTTGTCTCTTTGTTATGAGCACAATTTTACTGTATAACCTTTTATTTACCCCAACCTAGGTTTTATTGTTGTTGTTATGGGGCCTGTGTGCTCACCAGAGAGAGAGGGAAAATGAGAAATCACACCTTTCACTCCCCCACAGGGAATGACCATGCTATTCACCTCTCCAGATTTGGGGCACACATATTGGGTCTGTGGCTTGACCATATGGGATCCAGCACCTTAACCACCGTGCCACCTACTGGTCTCCCCAACTTAGTTGTAAAATTGTATTTCAAAGGAAAGGGAGGGAGAGAAGAGAAGAGGAGAAGAAAAAGCAGGCATTCTGGAAAACCAGAGAGATGCTCTCTCAGCCAGTTTGGGGGTATCCTGCAAGCTCCAGGCACTGAAAACCTTTGGATCTCATGAATTCAAGTCTGGTTCATTCTCTGGTTTGGATGAAGCCACCACTCTTTTCTGACGCGAATGAAGCTTTGTGGGATTAACAGATGATAAATAGCCACCTGAGGGCAGTGCACACCCAGAACCCAGGGTTTTCGAGGCGCCCATCAAGACAGTTGTGGGGAGAAAACAATCACCCTAGTCTAAGGAGCCTATTGACTACTCCTCTGCTCTTTAGTTTTAGGTCTAAAACCAAATTGGTAATTTTTTAAAAGAATTATTTTAATTTAACACCATTTATTTATTTATTTTAATTTGACTTGAGAGGGACGCACACACACAGAGGAGGGCGGTGGGGGAAAAGTAAGAAAGCAAGCCACCAGGTCTAGGACTCAAACCTCGGTCGGCCATGTGGTAGTCCAGCACCCTTAACCACCTCGCCACCTGCCAGCCCCCAAATTGGTGATTTTAAGGCTCTTGATGTCATGACTTTAAATTCCCCCCCAGTGGGTACCTGTATGTCTGAGTGTCCATAACTGGTTTGAAAAAAAGGTCATTAACAGAGAACTCTGTGCAAGCATAATAGGCAGTTGTTACTTCACATTTTTTAGACATTTATTTAGAAAACCGGGTTGATCTATTTCTGCACCTTCTTACAAACAAATGATGTGCATCACTTCACACTTTAAAATTCCTATGTCAGAGGCCTCAAACAATATGTCTATTTCAAATCAAAGGCCCTCACATATATTAATGGGTTTGTAAATGTAACATTCTGCTGAAGAAAGGTATTATCTCCTCAGCGTCCATTTGTTCTTTGTCTACGGTGCCAAGGCTTCTCCTGAACCACCTTTCATTGTGAAGAGGCAGCCCATTGTACACCTGTATCCACCATATGCTGGAAGTTACATTTCCCCGCATGGTTCCTGCACGTGCAATTACCTAGTATTTACCACCACTGAGCTTACAGAATCCTGTGTGGGAAAAGGGATGGGCTGAGGCAAAGGGCTGGAGGCATCAATCAGGTGAAAGGACTTCACTCAAGCTAGAGCCGCCCTCCCACACAGAAGCACCTTCTCTTTCCTTTTTTTTCCCCTGCTCTTCCCCTGCTCTCAGTCAGGTAGCCAATAAGCTCTGGAGTAAGGTGGCAGGTTATGATCAGGGTAGAGTTATCCTGAAAGAGTCAGGAACTGTGCTTGACAGTGTGGATTCTGCTTAAGTGACAAAGTTCCAAGTAATACCGTGCACATTCTTTCTACCTGGTAAGGTGAGTGTTAGGCGAGTTCTGGCTCAAAGCTCCAGACTAGAGCATATGGTGCTATCTATGGAGGACCAGAGGATTATTAGAAAACCAGCCAGGAAAAGTCTTTCTTTTTTCCATAAGCAATTGTTTGGAAAATTATATGTTTTCTGCTGTTTTAATAACAACAGAACAACAACAAATCTGGGGAAAATGTCTGTATCCACCAGAAAGATAAATACGGAGTTTAAATATGGTTGAATTTAGGTGTGAGAGGTTCTGAAGGTGATTTGAATTGATTATTAAAATAGAAATTTAACAAGGATGCCATTTTTCCCTAGATGCTGATTTCAGTGTCTCTTTCATCGGATTGAGGAGGGAAGTTTTTAAAGTGCATTCTCCATTGTCAAGTATATACAAATACGTCATGGTACCCTTTTCTTGAAATGCTACTGTTACATGACTTCTTTAAAAATCCTTCAATTCTAGAAGCCATAGGTTATGCTCTGTGCAGCATGTTAATGAAAAAGAACAGTGAGTTGACTAAGTCAAAAGCAATTATCTGAAAAATTCTTTATATTTCAGAGCCCCCATGTCAATATTTGCACTCCTAATTTTGCTTGACTTGGGATGGCTCTAAAGGTAGGTTTAAATCTTTTAGTTTACCTCATCTAGTGAGTCCATGAGAAGCAATCCAGGCATGTATGAAAAGAAAGCCCTCTGGGGACTGAAATTTACTCTGGGTACCTCACAGTGTGTCTTACATGGACCCTCTCTTGCTAAAGCCGAGTTTGGCTCCGTATCACTAAGTTGGATATATCTCCGTGTCACTAAGTTGGATATATCTACCTGAAAAACTGAACTTCAAACTTAAAGGGTTCATAGAAGCAAATGATCAAATTTCAATACTAAAAATGAGTTAAAATATATTCTATCTGGGGACCAGCATGTGGCATAATGGTTACATCACTAGATTCCCATGTAGTTGACCAAGGGTTTGAGTCCTGGACCTGGCAGCTTAAAACTCATGCTGGGGGTGTGTGCATGAGTGCCCCAAATCCCAAGAGGAGACTGGAGGAGAAGGGATTGTGGTATGGGTCATAAATACCCCATGGGGGGTGATTTCCCGCTTTCTGTCTGTCTCTGTCTCTTTCTGTCTCTCTGGTGAGCACACACACCCTATAGCAAAAATCTCTCTAGAAGAAAAAAATCCTACCGAAGAGTCGATGAACATACACAAAGCATGGTGGGACTAAGAGATTTTGTACTTAGAATCTTTAGAATAGTATGACACTCCTGCTGTTTAAAATTTCCTTGGTCACTCAAAATTTTTATAAGAAAATCATCAAGGGCACCAACCATCAGTTTTAAGTTTGAGCTTGAAAATTTCCTCTTTGGAGTTCTTACCTTTATACCCACAAAAGCCGAGTCCATGGAGTATCCCCTTCTGGTAATTTCCAAGGGCAACACACCCACATTTTCACAGACTTCATATTCAGACTGTGACCATTCGACATGAGACCATTTCAATTCCAAACTGTTCATGAAAGAAAAAGAAAAGGGAAATCATAAGAAACACACAGTAACCGCCTGTGGACTCTACTGGATATATCTGCTGGGAAGGATGTGGAGTCACTGATGGCATCATGCTGGTTGACCAACTTACACCAGTGGGAGAAATTTCTTACATTTGTTTGGTGTACTTCAACACACAACTTTGACTAAAAATATTGTATTTGATCTTTAAAATAACCCTGTGAGGTAGGCAGAGAAAGTATTAAAATTCCCTTTTACAGTCAGGCAGGTGGCATGGTGGTTAAGGCACTGGACTTCCACATGGCTGACCATGATTCGAGTCCTGGACCTGGTGACTTGCTTTCTCACATTCCCTTTCTCTCTCTCTCTAATCAAATTTTTAAAAATGATAATAATAATAATTAATAAAATGAAATCAACAGTTTTTTTAAAAAATAAAAATTTCTTTTTACATATGTAAAAACTAAGATTAAAAGACTGCTGAAGGTTCCTCCGGTTTAAATGACAAAAATAGGGAATTCAAGTTTGAGGGTTCTGAAGGAAAAAGAACCAGCAGTTGCTAAGGTCAAGGCGACATTCCTTTTTGGAGAAGGCATTGATATGGTCTTTGCTATGCTATCTTGTGGGCTTCCTCACTGGTGCAATAAGAATTGCTCCAAACAAAGATCTTCTCTAAACTTGAGCTCACTTTTGAGGATGTGCCTAGGAATGAAAGTGTACAGGTGCTTTGTAACTGTCATCTCTTCTTCCTTCTGTGCATATAAAAGGGCTGCACTAATACGTAGTTTGGATAAACCATATGTGGGGTTTTCAAAAAGTTTATGGAAAATGCAAATTTTTAACAACTATTCATAGATTTCAATTTCTTTTGCACCAAAATAAATTTATACTTCAATTCTATTTCCCACTAACTTTTTGAAGTCTCCTTGTACAACTGAATAAACCTGATAAATAGAGGGTGGGTCTTGTTTCTACAACATATTCAATGAGTTCAACATTTGTGGGAACTGTCATTTAATCTTCATCACACTAAGTTGGGTATATCTCCCTGTAAAACTGAAAGGAGCTTCATTATTGTTTTCAAAAAGCAAAGAAACCATGCCTTGAAATGTCACATAACTACCTCAAAGACAAAAAGCTATGACCAAATTAACAGGTTGCAGAGATAAAATTCAAGCATAAATCTGATGCCAACTCTTCTATTCTTCCTCTACCATTTCTCTTCCTAACTGAAGTTCTTCACAATTTCTGTCTGAGCTGAAGCAGAGCTATACAATTTTATCTTTACCATGAAATGCTTCCTTCTTTTAAGGGAGACTATTGAAATGTTTCACCTAAATATTTCTCTCCAAGTATGTTCTTACCTTTTTTAATCCCCTGGTGCCCTAGTGACATAAAAAAGAAATATTCTTTATGACAGTTTAACACGCTTCCATTACTTTTGTTTAATGTTTTCCTTTTTATTCTAAATTTAGAAAACCCTCAGCGGGGGACCAGCAGTTAGCATAATGGCTATGTCGCTGGACTCCCATGTAGTCGACCGTGGTTCACATCCCGGACCCGGTGGCTTAAACTCACGCCGGGCGCATGTGCGTGCATGCCCAAGATCCCGAGAAGAGAATGGAGGAGAAGGGATTGTGGCGTGGTCATCCCCCCTAGGGGGTGATTTCTCGCTTTCTGTCCCTCTGTCTCTCTCTGCCTTTCTGGCAAGTGCATGTGCCCTATAGCAAAAACCTCTCAAAAAAAAAAAAAAGAAAGAAAACCCTCAGCGGATGCCTTACTATACTCCTCAAACTTACAAACAGATTCAGACTCTTCTTTTTTTAGAGATTTTTTGCTATAGGACACATGCACTCACCAGAAAGACAGAGAGACAGAAAGGAAGAAATCACCACCCCCCACCAGGGGGGAATGGCCATGCTGCAGTCCCTTCTCCTCCATTCTCCTTGGGATTTGGGGCACATGTGCACATGCACCCAGTGTGAGCGCTGGGTCTGGGATGCAAACTGTGGTCAACCGTGTAGGAGTTCAGGAAGGTAACCACTAAACCATCTGCCACTGGTACCCAGACTCTTTTTAATTTTTAAATTTATTTATTTATTTTAAAGATTACTTTTTCATATAGTTTATTATTAATATCATTATTATTTTAATTTGCTATAAGACACATGGGTTCACCAGAGAGAGAGAGAAAGAGATTGAAAGCAGCCAGGTCTGGGACTCAAATCACAGTCAGCCATGTGGGAATCCAGCGCCTTAACCACCATGCCACCTGCTGGCTCCTAAATTAATTAATTAATTTATTAATTAATTTATTTATTTATTTTGGAGAAGATTTTGCTATAGGGCACATGTGCTCGTCAGACAGAGAGAGACAGAGATTCAGAAAGCGAGAAATCACCCCCCAGGGAGAATGGCCACACTGCAATCCCTTCTCCTCCATTCTCCTCTTGGGATCTTGGGCACGCACGCACACACGCCCAGTGTGAGTTTTAAGCCACCGGGTCCAGGATGCGAACTGCAGTCGACTACATGAGAGTCCAACGACATAGCCATTACACTAACTGCTAGTCCCCTAAATTTATTTTTTATAATTCCTTTTTACTACTTTTTCCTTTTTCTTTCTCTTTTCTTTTCTCTTCTTTTCTCTTCTTTCTTTCTTTATTTGGGGGTGGGCAGAACTAGAAATTCTGGGTGCTACCAAATGGAATCAAGTTTGCAAATTTCAGTCTCTCTAGGCTTTCATAGGGGCCACTGATAGCACTGGTTTATGGTTGAGGGAGATGGGTAGGGTGGAAACAGAATTATTGGAGGGGGGTCACGAATCTGTATAAAAATGCACATCTATTAAATGAGTAGATATGGAAGTTATGGTTACTGGTATGCTGGACTTCATAAATGTTTTGACTTGGAAACAGGATTCATCTTTATATTAAAACTTATTGGAGGGACCAGAAGTTGGTGTAATGGCTATGTCACTCAACTCCCATGTACTCAACTGTGGTTCAAATCTCAGACCCGGTGACTTAAACTCACGCCAAGTGCATGTGCGTGCATGCCCAAGATCCTGAGAGGAGAATGGAGGAGAAGGGATTGTGGCGTGGCCATCCCCCCTGGGGGGTGATTTCTCACTTTCTGTCTCTCTGTCTCTCTCTGTCACTCTGGCAAGCACATGCGCCCTATAGCAAATAAATCTCTCCAAAAAGAAAAAAATATATCGGAAACTTCATGGGGTTTTGATACAACTACATTAAAATCTGGTATGAAACAGATCAAGAAATAAAGAAATAAATGACTATGCTTAAAAAATTACAAGATTATAACCAACATGGATATCAGAGATGCCGAAAGAAATAACACATTGCAAAGAAGTTTTTAAAGGTCCAGGTAAATGAGCAAGGGGGAAAATCAGTTAAGAGCATTAATAGAGGCAAACACAGAGATTAAATGGGAAGGAAAGGAGGACAGCAGGAAGAGTGAATAGATAAATTTAGATGGGTTCAGCTAAGTCTCGATAAGGTTCAAGCGAGTTTCCCTGTCCAGTTCTTTTGACAACCCCTCCATTGCTAATGCTAACACAGACAGGAAAATGCATCAAGGCCATGCACAGACTCAGACTCAGATGACCTCTAGGCCTGAAGCTAAATGCAACTGGATTGCTGATCTAGACCCAGAAGGAACCACTCAGAGGGCTGTTCAGTTTCCAAACATGAAGGGTCTTAGTGTTTGAGCATATATGTGCATTTCCCTAATGCATCATAAGTATGCTGCATAATGTTTACGGATTAAAATTGTCATTATAGGGACCAACAGATGGCACAGTGGTTACATTGCTGGACTTCCACATGGCCAACTGTGGTTCGAGTCCCGGACCCGGAGGCTTGATTGAAACTCACACTGGGCATGTGTAAATGTGTGCCCAACATCCTGAGAGCAGAACAGAGGAGAAGGATTGTGGCAAAGGTATCCCCCAGGAAGTGTGTGTGTGAGATTTCTCATTTTCTGTCTCTCTATCTCTCTCTCTCTCTCTCTCTCTCTCTGGCAAATGCAAAACTCTCTCAAAAAAAGATTGTCATTATATAATGCTCTTTTTTATTTTTTAAAAATGATTCACTACTGGGAACCAGCAGTTAGCGTAATGGCTATGTCGCTGGACTCCCACGTAGTCGACCGCGGTTCATGTCCTGGACCCGGTGGCTTAGAACTCACGCCGGGCGCGTGTGCATGTGTGCCCAAGATCCCGAGAGGAGAATGGAGGAGAAGGGATTGCGGCGTGACCATCCCCCCTGGGGGGTGATTTCTCGCTTTCTGTCTCTATGTCTGTCTCTGTCTGTCTGGCGAGCGCACGCGCCCTATAGCGAAAATCTCTCCAAAAAAAAAAAAAGATTCACTACAAATAATGAAGATCTATTAAAAAGCCACAAAATGTAAGCCAGGTTGTATATTTTTCAGAAAAATTCTTACATAGCAAGGCACCTGCATACCTATAGGATATGTGTAACATATTTTTTTAATGTGGTTTTCGGAATTTTTTTTTTTTGCAGTAGTGTATTTGGGAAGATTTTTCTATTGTGAAACTGATTACTGAGACTTCTATTGTGAAACTGATTACACAGACACCTAGGAGAAAAATAAGATATGGAGTCAATCACTTGGGAATTTTCCTTGCAAGACTCCATGAAGCTCTACATTTAGCATCATGTAAGTATCCAGATACAGTAGCATAGGAGAGACAGAAAGTTCTGGATGGGTAGGTGTCATGTAAATAAAGGTTGGTTTACATCTCATTTCTTATAGACTTATTTATTTCATTTCATTTATTATCATTATCATTTTTTAACATGCTATAGGGCATGAGCACTTACCAGAGAGAAAGAGAAAGTGAGAAAGCAGGTTGCCAGTTCTGGGACTCGAACCATGGTTGGCCATGTGGCAGTCCAGTGCCCCAACCACCATGCCACCTACTGGCTCCTATATCTCCTCATTTAATGACCCCCCCTG